CTTCTTATGTTTCCGTATTTATCTGGAATTTTCACCATTATGTGCTCTCTCTCTTTTTTCTTCTCTCTCTCTTTTCTTATGTTTCTGTATTTATCTGGAAATAATTATGTGCCATCAGCTATGCAACCCACTAATAAATCTTCACACATCTGAATCTGTTTCAACGTCCTTTGTGCAAAAATGCCATACACCTATGAGAGCAAACCTCTCATCACTACGCTGCAGGATATTCTCAGAGAGATCTTCCCTAGCTCTTGGGGACTATTACGGGGAGCAGACACAGAGGGCTTGGAGCTCCCTGTGAGACAAGACAAAAGGCCACAGAAAGGGCTACAGACCCCACTTTCTGAGAAAGCTTCCTCAGTCCTTGCTAATATAATTCCCCTGCATTTACCCTAATCCTTTATCCAGACCCATTCACCCCCTTTTCCCATAATCACCTAGCCCCTTCCCTTGATGCAGCTCTTTTTCTATTCCTTTTTTCATACTTCTTCAATCCAGCACTTCCCGCAAGAACACTATGTATTTATTTTCTGTTCTACAATAATGTCTTCATTTTCTGCTCTATTTAGATTATGTGCAGCACTTTATTTTCAATGCCATCCTGTATATCCATGAAGCAGAACTCTGAAAAAGAATTTATGTAAGTATATGAAATTGTTTTAAGGAAAAAAAAAAATTGTATCTATGCAGTTACCATAAAGTACACTAACTTATACATACATGAGATCTATTTTATGTTTCATCTTCTATTAATAAACACAGCATACCAAAAACCATTTTACAAAAACATCCGTAGACAGCAGAGGCATATTCTAACTCAGAGAAATCAAAAGCCTCTTCTGCTCAATAATATAATCACACTGAGACATGGGAAACACAGCACATCATCGTTTAAGCGACTTTGCAACGCTTGTTCAGTATATCACAATTTAAAAATTATACTGAATTAGCACCACATCTAGCATACAGAAATTAGACCGTGTTTTTTACTGTTATACGAGTAACTTGTTACAGTCAACTAGCCTCTACTCACTCCAGAAGCAACATTTATCTTGACAAAAACGTGATTACATTCCATAGTATATCTTAAAATATTAACCGTAAGCCAACGAAATTATATTCCTTGCACAGAACAAAACCTAAAATTCTGCTCATTCTAATTCTGAAATTTAGAAATAATTTAAAATTTATTTTCTGTTCTAACACACAGATGATCAAACCTTTAAAAGCAAGCTATACACTTGTAAGACTGCAGAAAAAGATCCATCATTTACTATTCTGCATAGATTTCTTTCCTAAAAAACTAAGAGTGAATGCCTAACTTACCATGCCGAAGTGCTGACTCACTGCAGTCTCCTGATCACTGCTACACATCGATTTAAACACAGAAAGCTTCAAGTACACCAGCTAATCACAGCAACTCCCTGATCATGTGACTTGCACCACAGAATGTCAAATACAGCATCTTTCAAATCACAACATTCCCTGCCACTGCCTTCTGAATAAACCACATTTAGTGTAAAAGTGCCACAAATTTCAACGAGTTTGTGGATAACACTAAATTAAGGGGAGCAGCTGATACACTCAATGGCAGGACTGCCATTTAAAGGGATGTCAAAAGGCTGGAGAACTGGACTGAAAGAAACCTCATGAAGTTCAACAAAGGCAAATACAGTAATGCTGCACGTGGGACAGAATAATCCCTTGCAACTGTACATGCCAGGGGCCAAATAATCAGAAAGCAGCATTGCAGAAAAAGATCTAAGAATTCTCATGAACGACACTTTTGGCATGTTCTGCGGCAGTAAAAGCTAACAGCAAATTGGCCTGCATTAGTAAAAGTGTAGCCTGCAGGTTGGGGGAAGTGATTTTTCCTCTCTATCCAGCACCTGTGAGACAATAGCAGGAGTACCATGACCACTTTTGAAGTTCCCAGTGTCTAATTATTATTGAAATATTTATCTCCTACCATCTTCCACATAAAATGCCTAGCTGGAAGCATGGGAAAGGCTCTGGGCTAATGACAGAAATTTTGGAAGTATTTCCCAGAATCTGTCTCGTGCACCCAGAAAGCAAGGGCTCCTCCTCTTTGTGTCCTTTCAGATCTGGTCCACACAGTGCGAACAAAAGATTTTGTCCTTGGACGTACAAATAACCAGACTAGAGAATATGCAGTCAGCCAAAGAAAAACCTCCCTTTTTCATGTCAACATAGTAAGATCTGTAATTGCACCTGCTATGGTAACATTAAAAAAAAGTCAAATCTCATCAGCCCACCAACAGAAGTTGAGGAGACAGTACTTCTAGCAATACACCGAGTTGCATTACGAAGGTTTTACATGTTTTTGTAAATCACTGGCCATTACCAATGCCAAAATTCCAGCTTAAATGTCCCATACATTCATTCCTGCGCTGACATTGGAGACCTCATGAAAAGTAATTATTTGGGTGAACATATTTAAATTAAATTTCACATATTGCTTTTAATTACATATAATAAAGCAGGTGTGTATAACACTACTGTCTTTACCAGTAAGCTCTTTAAACCTATGCTGAAACAAGAGGAACCTGAATAATGCAACAAAATATGTACAATCGGAGATTAAACGTTAAGACTTACCTATTACCGATTCAACTGTGTTACTGCCAGAATGGAACGGGAGAGCTTTGGCACTGATAGCAGAGCCAGTTGTAGGAGATGAACTATCTGATCCAACACTGGAGGCCAAACTGGAAGTTATACTTGAAGCAAGTGGGTTAACCACTGAAAAAACACTGAGACGGTTCTGTTAAAAAAAAACCCCAACATATGCATACACACACAAACATACTTACACAGATGCATGTACAAACGTAGAAAATAAACAGAACCTATTTTTTAAAAGTAGTTATTTTAATCCAAACAGAAGAAATCTCTGAATCGATAGATTAGTATAATTTTCCTTATAATTCACCAGCAAGTACATTTCTCCAATGTGGCTGGACATCACTACCATGCAAGGGAATTCTGCTTTCAGAAAAAAGTATTTAAATACTTGCAAATAAGCTCTACAAATATAGTCAGTTAGCTGAAGTCTGATGCTCTTTTAATAAAGGAAAATATCTATTCAGGAATTCTACCATTTCATTATGCATTCATACACAGTTTATATTCTGTATTATTTTTTTAATCTGCAAATTTTCTCATTTAATCTAAATGCAATTGGCACATAAACTGATCTTCAGTTTAGATAGCCAAGAAACATGACTGCACTGCACACATGTATCATGTTATATAATGACCTGTACCTGTGCTACTTCTTTCTAGCTGAACATTTTTTTCATACAAATCACAAATTTACATTATAAAATGTAAGAAATGCAAACAGTATGTAACCATGTAACATCTAAACTGGAAAATAATGTCACAAAGTCTACAGGGACTATGACTGAATCAATCCACATATACTCTTATGGTCTTCTGTGTGACGAGCAGTGAATGTGCAGTATCTGCTCTCCTGATTTATAGCAATCCCACAGAAAAATTCTCTTTCAAAGCTAGATATAGGTCAAGATTGAGGCCAATAATGACCATGAGAATGAATATTTTTTCCTTTAAAAGTGCGTACAAACTGAAATACAGAAAGATTCACTTAGACACAAAAATTCTTTTACTGTGATGGTGGCCAAACACTGGAACATGTGGAACTCCACAAAGAGGATGTGAGTCTTCATTTTTGGAGATATTCAAAGGACTAGTAGACAGGGCACTGAGCAATGTGCTCTAGCTGACCTCACTTTGACAAGGGGACAGGTGGACTACAGATCTCCAAAGAATCATATAATGGTTTGGGTTGGAAGGGACGTTTAAGGATCACCTAGTCCAACTCTCCTGCCATGGGCAGGGACATCTTTCACTAGATGAAATGCTTGAAATGGTGCTCAAAGCCCCATCCGACCTGCCCTTGAACACTTCCAGGGATGGGGCATCCACAACATCCCTGGGCAACCTATTCCAGTGGCTCACCACCCTCCGTGAAGAATTTCATCATTACATCCAATCTAAATCTACCCTCTTTCGGTTTAAATACATTGCCCCTTGTCCTGTCACTATAGGCCATGGTAAAAAAAAATCTTTCTCCACCTTCCTTATAAGACCCTTGTAAGTACTGGAAGGCCACAATAACATCTCCCCAGAGCCTTCTCTTCTCCAGGTCGAACAACTCCAACTCTCTCAGCCATTCTTCATAGCAGAGGTGTTCCAGTCCTCAGACCATTTTTGTGTCCCTCCTCTGGACCCACTCTAACAGGTCCATGTCTCTCTTGTTCTGGGAACCCCAGAGTGGACGCAGTGCTCCAGGCAGGGTCTCACCAGAGCAGAGTAGAGAGGGAGAATCTCCTCCCTCGACCAGCTGGCCACGCTTCTTTTCGTGCAGCCCTGAATAATTGGCTTTCTGGGCTGTAAGCGTACGTTGCTGGCTCATGTCCATTTTTTCACCCACCAGTATCCCAAAGTCCTCCTCTGCAGCGCTGCTCTCAATTTGTTCTTCCCCCAGTTTCTATTGATACTGGGGACTGTTCCGACTCTGGTGCAGGACCTTGTGCTCAGAGTTGTTGAACTTCAACAGAGGTCCCTTCCAAGATCAACTATTCTATGATTCTATCATATGCTTTTCCAAACTTTGTTCCAATACTGTAATTTACACTGAATTCACAACACATTCTCTAATACCCCAATGCAACATCTTAAATGGTACATTTCTTTGCTGCTTTCTGTCTTCATAAATGTTTGAGCTGAAAAAAAGTAATCTCTGAACCGACAATGCATACTAAACCATAAAGAACAGCTGCATATTTAAAAAAGTAAAATGAAGAAATGACAAGGCATTTGATTCTTAGTTATAAGCCTGATTATGATCCCTGACATTGGAGAGACATGGTATCAAAGTCAACACAAACTGGAGAGGCAAAACAGGATTTTCGTATTACTGAAAAATTACCAGACTCAGAATATATTCCCTTTTGGCCTGCCCCATCTTAAGCTCAGGCCTCTTGGTGAGAGGGAAGTGAAGAAATTTCCCATACCCACACAAAGCTGACGGATTTCTACAGTTAGTTCTCTTTCTCCTCAGCATAAACATCTACATCTACTAGACTATTTAGTAGCTTTTTCCTCCCTAACATATTTACAAACAGCAAGCTTCTTGTCCCACGCTATACCTACAGACAGATACACTTGTGCAGTGCAAAGATTCCTTTCCTTCTTCTGTTTTGACAGACCAAGACTGACCCTATCTGTGACTTCAAAACTCTATTTTGGGGCATATCTAAACAGAAAAAAGACAGCAGAATAAACAGAAAAGAGACAGGATAGAAAGGTTATTAAAAAAAGATGTCAACTGATTTATAATTACATAGCAGAATTTCATACATTCTGCACTATTTAAATGGAGATTAAATAAATTTGTTTTAAAAAGAAGAGAATTAGAACAACTTGCTAAGTGTTCTTGGGAGCACTGGATAATAGGAAAATTCAGGTTGGAAGGAACTTCAGGAGGTGATCTAGTCCAACCTCCTGATCAGAGCTAGGTCAGCTGTGAAGATCAGGTTACTCGGTGTTTTAGCCAGTCTTGTCTTGAAAACCTGCAAAGATGGATTCTGCACAACCACACTGCTTGACTCTCCCCATGGTGAAAAAAATTTTCTCATACCCAGACTCAGCTTCTTGTTTCAACTTATACCTGTTGTCTTTGTCCACGCACTGTGCACCACTGTGAACAGGCTGGCTCCATTTTCTTGATGACCTCCTCTTAGGTATTGGAAGGCTGTTCTTTTCTCCAGGCTACACAAGCTCTGCTTCCTCAGTCTCTCCTCACAGGGCAAGTGCTCCAGTCCCCTGACCATCTTGGTAAGCATGTGCTAAGCTTGCACTAGTTCACTGATGTAATCGCAGTACTGTGAGCCAAAAACCAGACACAGTATTGTAGATGTGGTCTAACAAGTGCTAAGCAGAAGGGTAATCCTTCTGTTGATCTACTTCATGCTCCTGTTAATACAACCCAGGATAATGCTGGGCTGCCTTTGCTGCCAGAGCACACTGTTGGCTCACATTCAGCTTGCTGTGTAGAAAGACCCTCACATCCTCTTCTACAGACCTGCTTCCCAGGCAGTTCTTGTTCTCAGCCTATGTTGTTACAAGAGTTTCTTGCTTCTTAGGTGCAGGACTTTGGATTTGTACTTAATGAATTTCATAAAGATCTTGTTGGCCTATTCCTCTAGTCTGTCTACGTTTCTCTGAATGGCAGCCCAGCCCTATTGACTGGTTCCGCCAATTTCACGTCATCTGCAAACCTGATTCCCCCACTAGGTCACTGATAAAGGTGTTAAACTGGGTATGTCCTATTTCCTCTGCTACAAACATTAATAGCAGTAGAAAGTCATGTAAAAACTACTTTTTTAGGGCAAGTCACAAAAAATTAAAAATAGTTTCCATGGCTGCCACGCTAATTTATAGGCTTGTAGGGGAAAAAACCCAATGTATACTTTTAAACAGGTTCAACGTGCTGTCACTCTGATGTCGAGAGAACAGAGTTAAGAGTTACAAAGATTCCAAATTGAGCAATTATGCAGGCGTGTATAATTGATGAAAGAGTAACTGACCTTGATCACATCAAAACCTTGGAAAGCACCTAATCTCAAACAGCACAGAGTGTCTCAAGATAAGAAAGCTGTAAATTTCTGCTTTGCGTTCTTATGGTCGCTGATTTAGAAACAGATGTATGATCTGGGAATAAAGTCAAGGTAAGAGTGTATCCCACAGCAACCTTAGGTAATTGTAATACTAAAATACACACCCACTTGTGGATAATAAGCATGCTAATTAGGGGATCTCCCCAAATGTTTTAAACATGAGATAAAATGCGTATGTATGATGAGGGTGGGTGAGAGGTGGATAAGGAAGTTTGAGAGTATCAATCAGCTGGATTTTGTTACTATAAAAAAGGAACATGTGATATAATTGCTGTGTCAGATGGTGTTAGACGCCCAGCTCCCTACTCCTCAGACTTGAAATAAAGACAAATATCTCAACTTAGTGGGTCAATTGGCTCTTTGCACACTGGGTGGAGAACCCAGATTTGGGACAACAACTCTTCCACACAGAACTCATAGGATCCACCTCTATCTTGTGTTTTCTCTCCTTACTTATTCTGTACCACTCTTGCTTTTTAAATGTAAGATACATTTTAATCCTGCACTTTAGATTATACGCTCCTGTGTGGCTGCATGAATGGCAAATGGTAAAACTGCTGTTCTCATTTATCTTGATCATTGTCATTAACAAAGCATCAGGTTCTTGTTCTAGCAGTGCAAAGCTGGCAGTTTTAAGCCCCTTTGCAGATACAGAATGACCTCTAACACCTGATGGATTAGCTTCATGACAGGTCAAACCTGTGCCCTCTTCCCCGCCACTTTAACTACTTTTCTAGTTTTGAGCATCTGACGCTTGAAGAACTGTATCACCATCTTCCTTCTGGCTTTCCTTACATTTTATCAATCCATCCCCAAATCAAGTTAATCCAAAATTTCACTGTGAAAACTCTGCCAAGGAATTGCTATAATCAAAAGCATCCTCAAATTGCCTCATATTCCTCTCATCCCTGCAGCACGCATCTATTGCACATTTTCACCGAACCTAGAGCCAGCTGTCCAGAACCATGTCCAGATGTGTAACTCCAACGAGGGAGACTCCACAACCTCTCCGGGCAACCTGTTCCAGTGCTCAGTTTGACACGCACAGTAAAAAAGTATTTCCATACATTTAGGCAGAACCTCCTGTGTTTCAGCTTGTGTCAGTTGCCTCTTGACACAAATTTTCCTTAGACCATGCTTTAAAGTGCCACATAACTTTGATTCTGTATTAACAAATTATTAAAAAGGGCAAAATATTTACAGCATTTAGCTTTGGGCAATACCTGCTTGTTGTCTTGTTCATTTATTTTCTGATGATTCTCAACTGGGAAGCTTCGATGCTTTGCCTGAAAGAAGAAAATTCTCTGTAATATATGCACTTAAGGAATCATTGCTGTAAAATATATTACTAGTTTACAAAGGGTCAGTGGCATCTCTGTAATGATACCTTCAACAGGCTGACTTCATTTCCCTCACTGCAGTCCCATATGGAGAATTAGATTTTAATGATCATAGAATAAATCTACATGGAAAAGGAACAGCAGTTGCAATTGTTCCACTTACATGCATAATTGAGAATATGCAAGTTATTTCTGGTCCAAAAATTGAGTAGTCATGTTAGCATTATGCTGTGACAGAAATAACATGCCCCAAGTGCTCACCAGCTCGGGAATACTTCTCCAAGAGGCTGGTGGGATAGAAGCCTGAGGTAGCCAAAAGTTTGAGTGCAACTGCCTAGATTTTCCCTTAAAGTGATCATGTTACAAATAATAACAAAAAAAAATTAGTTTCAAATATAAGGGCAGATTTTCTTTGAACACCATTTTATAACAAGGTAATTTTTGAAACAAGTGAGACACACTGTGATACTTAAATAAAAAGGAATTCTAAGCAATTTCTCTTTGCCCACTGTGTTCTTGCAGACCAGGATTGAAAGATCTCTGTTCTTTTCAGGACAGTAATTTTCAGGCCAGTAATGACTTCCTGAACTGCAGTAAACTGCAACGTGCTCTCTGTCTTCTTAGGAAAAAATGCTTCTTTCTGCTGCCTTTGAACAGTCTTGTGTCTGTTCCTCATTTCCTTTGGGAGACTCCTAATCTGTCTTGTAGTGAAAGCTCCCTAGCATAACAACTCTCCTCCTCTTCATACGCCTCCCACCGCTCTAGATACTTTTTATCAACTGCTAAGTCCATCCCTGCTTTCTCTCTAGACAGGTTCGATGTGGCCACTAAAAGGCAAGCACATGATGTTCTTGCTACTGAGACACAGTCTTTGTAGGAGCACATTACTCACTAATTGTGACCGAAACAGCAAAACAGATCTTCATTAATGGCTCCATCATTTCTCAATTATTGCTGCCTCCATTGAAAAAAATGCAGAAAACAGCCATTTGACAGTGTAATTGGCTTGCTTTCGTGATATTTGATCAATGACCACTTGATCCCTATACTGAGATAGAAATCTTTCCTGTCGCAATGACCAGCTTGCTAACTCACAGTCTGTCTGAATATCTGCATGTAAGAAAGCAATCCTGCCTGCAGAACCTTACTCTTAGAGTCGTGATCTTGCCAACACCTACAACAAGTTACCATTTACAAAAAGCACTTTCCTTCCTTTCATTCTTTTTCCATCTTTTACTTCTGCACTTCTCTGTGCATCTCAGTTATAGAACTCAATTCTGACAAGTCACAGGTTTGCAAGAAAGCCGATCAGTTTGGCTGCAGCTTATTTAGATGTGTCGTTGGAGCTCCTTTTTTTAAACAGTGCCTTTCTGACAATTTAGAAGTGTAACCAGTATTATAATAGAGCAAGTAAAATTTAGCTTTAACAGGTATATCCTGGGCTTTCAGCTTTTTTCTTGCAGGCCAACAGAGCTGTTTTATATCCCTAGAAAAGATCAGCCTTCCCTTCTCCCAGCTGTCTCTAGCATTGCCTGGTTTCTCCCCACCCCTTGACTAAAGGATTATAACTCCTCACCAACTTTAATTTCAACCACTCTCGTCTCATTGCCAATGCTACAGATCACTCTCTCTCTTCAAGGGGCTTGTTATATTTTATCATCTATGTCTGTCTCAGCAATGAACTTGTCCATGGAGAGAAGTAGTTGCAGGTGGGAGAAGAAACAGATGGAAATTAATCAGTGATCAGAATTCATAAATAGTATCAACAGCCAGAAATTAATGCATCTTTTCACCATCAATCTTCAACAGTAATTAAAACTGAATCCTACCAAGTCTACCTATTACTTTTTTTTTTTCCATTGTTATCTTGCTCTGTTCTTGGCAACACGGGCTCAAAATGACAATCACAGCATTTCTGCAAAGTTAGAATTTATTGCACGTCAGCTGAGGTGCAGTGACTGCATGAGTGTTCTTGGCCTGTGACAACTGCGAAGTAATTTGATGCAGTTTAGGTCACTAAAGAAGAGGATTCCAAACTCTGTGTCCTAAATTATCAAAAATCAGTGCCGATACATGAGGCAGACAGTATTTTCTGCTGAATCTAACCTAAGATTGCATTTGTGCTTCCAGACCCATAATATTCACATACCTGGTCTTCTCGTTCAAAGCCTGGTGCTTTGGGATAGCTGGATGTTGGTGAAGAAACACCTGATGTGCTAGACTCCAAACACAAAACATCATTTGCTAATGATCTCTGTCTACAAAGAGGTCCAAGGGGTGATAAAGAACTACTGCTACCAGAACTTGATGTTACAGTTGGACTTGAAGAACAGGAAATCTGTAGAAGACAGAAAACAGCGTCTAATACACTCTATGATACTTTTTTGTGTTTACAGCTATAGTCTCCCTCTGTAACACAATCAGTTGAAATTATAAATTAATTTCAGTCTTATGTAAATACAAGACTAACTTTGGTTTATTTGTATATATTTACAGTATTAGCTTAAAAAAGTAGCAGATTACAAACGCAACAGAGTTATTGTAAATATACAGACTTCAAAAGCAGATGCATTTGTACACACCAGAAAATAAACTTCTTTGGTCCCTAGCAGAAAATGAACCACAGGCGGAGATTACTTAATGGATATTAATTTACAAAGGAATACTTGCTTTCTGAATACCACGATTTCCATTCATTCATATATTTCTTAATTTATAGTTTAATGCAAGCATTATACATTTCACTCTTTAAAAGAACTCATCCAGATCAAGCCAAGCAGTTCAAAAAGAAAAAGACACGTAGAACCTTGGCAAAAAGCATCTCGATGCTTGTTTGCAAATCTCAAAAGGCTGTTTTCTGTGATTCTTAAATATTAAAATGTTTATTGATTAATAAATTAACATTTTAATATTTAAAACCATTATTGAATTCATAATTCTTAGTTCTGCTGTACACTTTCCACAGAGTTTTAAACTTCTAAAGTAAAAGGCTTAAGCTGAAGGTACAATCTCTAAGTAGGTCTGGACCACTTTTTTTTTCTGAAAGTACAAATCTGATCAACCTGAAATTTATGAACATGAAGCCAGCATGCTACAATAACATGTTTGAGTGGAACTGTGGGTATTGCTTGTTCCTACATTTTTTAAGTATACTGTTCAATTTTCTTAAACCAGATTTATAACCAGACTCACAAAGGCATTATGGAAATAGTTGCATCTTACATTTATGCCTAACAGCCCAGTGGCGAGAATACTCAGTGATAATACACATTTCAATACCTTCTGTGCTTGTTTCGGAACAGAATCTGACAGCTCTCAAGGGAACTGAACTAGTCAATACAATAATGGAGTGAAATTCTGCCAAAGCTTTTTTGGTTTGTTTAAATACAAAATTCATACTGAATCAGACAGACTAAACAAGAATAACTATAGTTTACTGTTAAACTCTCAATTTAGGGTTAACCCTAACCTTTAATTTTACTCTATGCTCCAAAGAATGTGAAAGTATTTTAAGCAAATCAGGATTTTAACAGGAGACATCCCTCTCGCCAGAACAGTATATCCTCAAAATGTCCTTCCTGAGCAGCAGGAACTGTAGATTCAAATTTCTGTAAATCAGGTAGAGGACAGACATGAAACTAGATGAGGTCTCAACCCTGGACAGAAAAAAACCCCACCTCCTGCAAATATAAGCCCTACACTCGCTGAAGATTATTACCTATGTAGTCACTTACTCCTGTCCCTACACAGAAAACATGTCACGAACTTTATCTGTGTGGAGTCCTGTAATTAGATTGCCTCTGAAATCCAAAGACAGCTTGCTCTACACAACAATCTGAAATGTACATATAGCCTGAGAGCTGACAGAAGTAGAAGAGCGGGCGCCGCGGAAAAAATCATTAAATTGATAGCCAAGGTTTACTCAGACAACATTCGTTCTGAAGTCAAAGGCTGAAGAATTCATGTTTTGACTACAAGCTTGTTACAACATGTAACGTTTCTCTTTCTGTTACCACTTACTCTAAATCCAAAACTGAGGATTGCCCCTATGCATGGTGACGATAAAGTTTGCACATTTTTTCAGCTCTAAAATACTGAAATCCTTCCTTTATGCTAAAGAGAAAAAGAAAATAAAAGCTAGGGAAAAAAGCATTGCTCTTAAGCAGAATTTATTAAAAAAAATATTTTTTCTTGGTCAACAGAAGCATGTCAAGGTATTCAGTTCCATATCAAAAGATTCTGAAAACTTTTTATGGATAACATAGTTACATCTTGTAAGTACACTTTAAAACATCCTTCTGGTAGCATAAGGGTGCTTAATGCAGAAGACAAATATGTAAGATAAAATGACTAGACAGCAAAGGCACACTAACACGTGAAGTAAGATACTAATTTAGATAAACTACAGATTCATCTTAAGCATGGGTTCCCTAATCTGCACAGAACGTTTCTCAGATGCATACTTCATGTCCACTGTTTCAGCTAGGCAGGCAACATAGATTATTTTACCAATACAGGGAGATGTACATCATGGTTGCTCTCCTACAATATCACCTAATGAAGACTGGGGAATAGGGAGGAAGGAAGATAGCCATTACGGATTACTTGTCCTGGAGGGCTACCTGCAGACAACAGAGCTGTAAATGGGGAAAGACGCCCTTGTTCACAGAGAAGTACTGGGCTTGAGGTACAGAGTTACCAGTCAAGAACGATATCAGGTATGTAGGCTGTTAAATAAGACCATAAGGTGCCACTCATGTGATCCTTCTCGTTATAGTAGGTATCAATGATGGCACTAACTTATACACAGCTGTAAGCACTAAGAGCTTACAATATAATTTTGTGTAGTTTTGCTCTGAAAAGCTAAAGCTAAAGCAATCGCTCAATCTCCTAAAACGCAGGCTGCATTACTGGATTACATTAATGTTTAGGCTTTTGGTCTTAATCTCTGAAGAGTCCACCAGGATGACAATAGACAGAGATAGCCTCTACCCTGTCTTCTGTATTTTTCAGAAAAATTAATAACTGGATTACACAGTACCACAAATTTTGTAACTCAACTTGCAAAGAAAATACAAGGAATTCACACAAATAAAGAAGGAAAAGAAAATGGGTTATGTAATATCCATGGTAGGTTAAATACACAAGCAAGAAAAAGAATAAATTTCAAACTTAGCCTGAATTTACAAGGCAACTACGTAGAAAAATCACTCATTTTGGTCTGAAGTCATTATTTAGAATTTATTTCTCCTGGTGGAAAAAGGGCCTGGCGGTGTTGGTCGACAGCCGGCTGAACATGAGCCAGCAGTGTGTGCCCAGGTGGCCAAGAAGGCCAACAGCATCCTGGCCTGTATTAGAAATAGTGTGGCCAGCAGGACTAGGGAAGTGATTGCCCCCCTGTACTCAGCACCGGTGAGGTTGCACCTTGAATGCTGTGTGTGGTTTTGGGCCCCTGACTACAAGAAAGACATTGAGGTACTGAAGCGTGTTCAAAGAGCAACGAAGCTGGTGAAGGCTCTAGAGCATGAATCTTATAAGGAGCGGCTGAGGGAACTGGCTTTGTTTAGCCTGGAGAAGAGGAGGCTGAGGGGAGACCTTATTGGTCTCTACAACTACCTGAAAGGAAGTTGTAGTGAGGGGGGTGTTGGTCTCTTCTCCCAAGTAACAAGCCATAGGATGAGAGGAAATGGCCTCAAGTTGCGCCAGGGACGGTTTAGATCGGATATTATGAAAAATTTCTTTACTGGAAGAGTGGTGGAGCATTGGAACAGGCTGCCCAGGGAAGTGGTGGAGTCATCATCCCTGGAGGTGTTTAAAAACCATGTAGATGTGTCACTTCGGAACATGGTTTAGTGGGCATGGTGGTGTTGGGTTGATGGTTGGACTTGATGATCCTAGAGGTCTTTTCCAACCTAATGATTTTATGATTCTGCTCTTCAAAAGGAAACTATGACTTATTGCTCTGAGCCTAGAAGTGCTAACATAAATATTTTGTAATTGATAAATATTCTGTAATTGTTAAATGCATATAATAATCTTTGGTGTATCTCCTATTTCATCTACAGAATAAACAGCAAGTTTTCCTATTAATTTTGCAGTGCCACAAACTTGAACAATATTTACAGACAAATTTTATCATACAGCTAGGCCTTTGTTCTGTTTCATCACCTAACTTAGGTACACTGCAGCTAGGTACTAATAACGAAGAGACCTGATGCATGGAGAAGATCAACACTATAATTCTAAAGTGTGAGCTGAGCATGTTTTAAGCAGAAATGATAAGATTCTTGATGTTTTTTGTCTGAAAAGCTGCTCAAAAGAATATGCATTTTGTGTTGATACAGTAACACTGGAAAGCTAAACAACCAGCTAGAGAAAGTATCTAAAGCAGCAACTGTGACTATGGTTGCATGTACTGAGACAGCCCAGTTAAGCCAACTCTCATGGCACTGTGAGAAAAAGACATAGGAGAAGACCATTTTATGTATGTTAAATTACAATAAATTTGCAAGATATAAATAAGGACAGTTGAAACGAAGGGATGAAATTTAGGTGAGCCAGAAGCTTATGGCTGAGAATGATGCATACGTATGAGATGCAGAGGACTGCACGCCAGAGAGATTATTTTGGCAAAGATGACTGAGGAAAGGGGTAGATAGCAAAAGTGACTGACGAAAAGGGGTGCATAGCATATTGGATGATGAAACATTACATAGCTGAAGATTCATGGAAGGACATACAAAAAGTAACGTAAATACAAGTAAATATGAAGAAGCGGTAACATAACCAACTTCATTAACCAAGCAGGGCATCAAAGTTTAAACGGTGCAAACGCTGTATCCGAAACATGGATCAAGCTATTTCAAGACTTGTATGCACAGAAATATTCAAGACACCTAGTCTACTATCATTTCCCATAACTGAGGACTTCAGATACATGAATTTTACCAGTGCAACAGAAGAAATGATAAGGAAGACCCTCTTAAAGTCAAATAAAAGAGTGAAAGAAAATAAATTTATGTCATAAAAAAAGGAGCACTAGAAGAATGAGTAAAACAGAGTGTTCCTTCTGGCAAGTAGATGATACTGAACAGAGCACAAAAGAGTAGTAATGGTTAAGAACAAGCAGTAAGAGCTGAAAGTAAAAGTTGCTGGTGTAAATGCAGCTCATAAAGAAGATACACAGGACTGGAAAAAGGATGAGTGAATTTGTTGCTACAATGCATACAAAGAGTCCGAATCTTATTTAAAGGCACTTCACAGCTCTGATGGAATATTAGAAAAAATGGGTATGCCAAGAAAGCCAACCTAGGACTTGCTAGAGCAACACAACAGGAAGAAAGATAAAAGGTCATGGCAAGTGTGGAGGAACAAGTAGTACTAACTGAAATGAAAAATTACAATCAAGGGAAATACTGTACCACGTTGGGTAAGCACATTTAGATGATATAACTGGTGAAGTATAAAGCAAAGGGAATTGCAAAGACAGAGTGGAGAAAAACAGTACTATCACAGATCAGGTGAAGGGACTGACAAAGTATGATACTATATGCTTCAAACCAGAAGGCAGAACATGGAGGTAAAGAAACACAGATGTAGAAGCTCTCTATGAAGACTGAACTCACACTTACCAAAAAAGGCTGAAGAGTAGATTATTTCCTGACTGAAATGTTAAGGAAAGATACAGCAGAGGAATGACTGATGACAGTCCAACTGACAAGGCAACTTAGATGAAGACATAAGAATACAGTATAGGTGAGATAAGGAGATACATATTTAAAACAGTTATACAGCCTCCCTCACTATCAACCTGGATCATACCGAATGTTAATGGACTCATTCTTCCAATAACATTTACAGATAGGGTAATAGTATTATCACATTCTAGAAATAGGGATCTAAGCAACTTGCTCACAGTCAAAAAGGAATTTTATGATCAATCAGCGAAGTCTCTCAAGTACTACAACAAGCTTTTCCCTAGAAGGATACTCTCCCAGCGTACTGTAACAGGGTAGGTAAAAGGAGTTCTGGAAGATGAATAGGGAGATTTTGTTTTGAAGGCACAAAGGAAGAGAGGCATAGAAAGTCTAATTTCATCATGATAAAAACCATTAAAATGAAGTTTACTCAGGGCCAGTGTCTGACAGTGATGAGAATGAAGTCAAAGGAGGGGACAGAAAAGACAGACAGCTTATTGGAACAGAGAGAAAAGCACAAATGAAAAATGTAAAGAAATTGCTGGGATATGGAAAATGGGGGGAGGGAGAAAAACAGGCTGACTACTTAAATACTAAAAATAAGTTTACAGTAGATGGAGAAGGTGAAAGCAAGTAAGCAACAAAACTCAGCAATTAAAACAAAAAAGCAGAAGACCAGCCTGCTCATGAAAAATCAGGAACTGAATGTTCAAAAAAAACCAAACAATGGAAGCGCATCAAACAATGCTGTAGGTTACCAGTCAAGTGAAAGACAGACAGAACATTTTGCCAGACATTACAAAAAAGGTGGCCACTTGCAATAAAACTTCAATTCAAAAATACAGGGAAGGGAGTAGGCTCAACTTTTCCATTTTCACACTTGAACAGTAGTACAGGCAGAGACTCACTGAGCATGGAATGGAAAATGTACACAGTGTTCATAGATTCCTAGTGACTAACAGAAAAATGCATGCATATGGAAGAAGATTCCTCATAGCTGGAAGGCATATTAGAATAGTTAGTGTTTTCAGCTGTACTTAAATTATTCATGAAAGCCAAAGAAGCTTCTGGGAGAAGAGATGCTTTTATGGGTCTCTCCTGAAAGCTTCGGAACCTTAGCAACAACAAAATTAGCTTCCTAAATAAAAAGGCAGAGCCTCTCTCAGAACCTTTCATACACAGAAGCAGACTTCAGCACAGCAACCCTAAGATAAAATGTAGGCATAGTGGTATCTTTACTCTCAATCTACAGGACACAATATGAAGCTACATGACAGAAATCCAGGAGTTTTAACAACTGCACTATTTATTGGCAATTCCTTTTAAACATTATTTAAAATATGTCCTTCTATCTGGTTTCTAACCAAACAGTATAGATCAGTAGTGCTGGAAAGCTAGACGTGAAAATTCTGGGAATAAATGTATATGTACTTATGACCCTGCAGGGCAAATGAGGTAAAAACCGCGAGTCAAGAGAGAACAAGAGAGATGTCACCATCTTTATACATTATTTTGCAACAAACATAAAACCTAAGAAAAGGATCTATTCCAACTGATACTAAGAAGAATAAAAGCTCTACAATATATTTTTCTCCTTTCTCTCCCCCATCCTTAACATTTGCTAATATAAACTACATTTATCACCCTTGTAATGAAATACCCCTCTACTACCAAACACACTGTATGCACTGCACCACTGTAAGAAGTTTTAAGTATAAAGCATGTTCAGGTAGGACACCAATTCATTCCTAATGTTAACAAATAAGGGCAGAGAAGAGGGCTGGGATCAGGCAAGATCTTCCATGAATGAAACCTTTCCTACAGAAAAAAGAGACATATGTAAATTAAGCTGTCCTGTAGTTGTATGTTTTATTAACAATCAAGTTCCTCATTGTAGCATTCAAAATACTGCATCTAAGACAAAAAACAAGAACGGAAAACACAAATAATACGTAGTTAAATCATAAAAACCCATAAATAAAAGGGCAGACATTCCATTTAGGCTTACAGTACCAGTTAAATATTACTGCCTGACATTTACTATAGCTGTGGTTTTATCTTTTGCTGAAGTACAAAGAAATAAAAAACAGACTTTTAAGAAGTAAAATAAACATTGTATATTGGCACAGTGATTATTATTAGTAACTTTTCCAGAATTATTTACACTTACATTTCCAGACTGACCACTGCTATTTGTAAGGCTGTTTGTGGAGTTAAGACTGCTGCTCCATTCATTTGCAATTCCTATGCTGTCTGTTGAAAACAGGTGAGCGCCTGGCTTTGATTGACAACCAGTTTGCAGTATGACTACATTCATGGTGTCCTCTGTTGAAGGAATCCCCAACAAATTACACACAGATTTGATACTTAGCTGTGTGAATTTAACAATTACATACCTAGTACCAAACACAGCACCTGTCACATGGAAACATCAATCACACACAAGAAATCTCTCTCTTTTGCTTTAAATATAAGCACAAAGGCAAGGTAAGAATAACATGATTCACCATTATGTATTTGTGGCTACTAACAAATGTGATACTCTTATTTACTTGCTCTATGAAAAACTGGTGCGAGGTGGATTGAAATTCATATATTTAAAGTATTCTAAATTTTGCTTTGTTTTCCAGAATCTCTATTGCACCAAAGTTTAAAGAGCATATTTTTAGAACTCCTGACCAGAAAGGCAACAATGGCATCATAATTATAGGGTTCTTTGTTTTCTTTTTCCACTCTAGAACCAACTGACTTAATCATAAACAATCTGGGACTTGTACTATTTAACTTAAAAACAAACAATAAACTTTGAGAAAGTTCATTATTAACTTTATAAATAAATTGTGACCAATGACTTGTAAATTTTCATACCAGAAAATTCAGCTCAAGGTGACTGACCAATTATTTTGCAATTCCGCAAAGGCTATTTTTTAAACTATTGAATATCTTAGATACTTGATTCTTTAAGTGTGCAACGTATTAAGGAGATTCAGACTTCTAGTTTTACAGGCAAATGATGAGTTAACAAAAAATGTCTACTTTAGTAAGCAATTACAGTTAATGACATTCTTCATCTCATAATCCATGCACACAAGACACCAAAGTAAGGAAGTCAGGACTGAAAACAAAATCTCTTAATAAATTCTATGGTACGGCAAGATTTTTTTCATCTCTAGCCACTACTGCATTTCTGAATGATAAAATACAGTTAAAAAAAAAAATTAAACATTTCTCTCTACTAGAAACAATAAGTAGCTCTGATATGGCACACAGAAGTACAATCCATAGCAGCAAACAGAATGAGTATGAGATACGTAGACACCTCTCTTCAGCGGAGATATCATAGACGAGAATCTTTCTAATGATGTGGAGTTCTTCTATCTAGCATTTGATCACTACTCCGTAACCTTCTTACTATACGGCCCAATGCTTTACCAAATATTTCCACTACTGTATAAATTGCGGCTCACAAAAGAGGAAGGAAAATGCTACTAGTAACTACCACTATACACACGAGTCCAGTCCAGCCACACTCAAAAAACAGAAAAGGAAAAAGAAACCATAGGGAATGCAAAGATGATGTCACTAGACCCCTGCTGTCCCTCCTACAGAATGAGAGTGCAAAGAACAGTTGGGAAGACAGAAGAGATGCGCTGACTTTTTGTAATGTACTCTCACTTTCACTGCATATCATCTCATTGTATAGCTGCTTGCCCAGAGCAAGTCCAGTCAGCCATCTTATGTCCAGTCAACCCTCAAATGTTCAGTCAACCCTCACACTGTCATAGGAAAAGCACTGACTCACACTCTCTCTTAAATCTTCATTAGCTTTTTTCCCCTGACAACCACATACTCATCCAATATTCTATAAATGAGTATGAGTAGTCATACCACCCTAAAAGGGTAGTATAAGACTGCTTTCCAAACATTTCAAAGAGAAATAATCTCTCCTTTCTCTTTCCAAGGTATTTAGGCAGAATAGCACGACTAGTTCTTGCTATTCTGCTTATTGATAGTAAGTCAAACAGTCATATTAAATTCAGAATGTGTGCTTCTACATCATTCTAATTTATTCCAAGAGTGAACATCATAGTTTGTGGCCAGCTGCACAAAACTTGCAAATTCTACAGAGTAAGCCTCCAACAGTCTAACCATATTTTCTCAAAGACCTAGCGCTTTTGTAGGAGGTTGCAACTGACAGAAAAGCAACAGCCTCACGTGGTGGCCCATCTCACGGCGATTAGGATAGAGCCCTCAAAAAGAACTTCAACTATTTAATGCCAATGCAGCGGTGCTTCAGGGATTATGATTAAAGCCCAGATAGAATTAAATATGGACAGGGACATCAAGGGTAACAAGAAAAAACTTCTATAGGTATGTCAGTGATAAAAGGAGGACTAGGGAAGCTGTGGGCCCTCTCTGGAAGGAAACAGAACTGGTCACAAGGGACATGGAAAAGGCTGACGTTTCTCAATGACTTCTTTGCCTCAGTCTTCACTGGCAAGGGCTCTAGCTGCACTATCCAAGTTGCAGAAGCCAAAGGCGGGGACTGGGAGAAGGAAGATCCATCCACTGTAGGTGAAGAGCAGGTTCGTGACTATCTAAGGAACCTGAAGGCGTACAAGTCCATGGGACCTGATGAGATCCACCCACGGGTCCTGAGAGAACTAGCAGACCAAGTTGCTAGGCCACTTCCCATCATATTTGAGAAGTCATGGCAGTCTGGTGAAGTGCCCACTGACTGGAAAAGGGGAAACATCACCCCCGTTTTCAAAAAGGGAAAAAAAGGAAGACCCAGGCAACTACAGGCTGGTCAGTCTCACCTCTGTGCCTGGCAAGATCATGGAACAGATCCTCCTGAAGGCTCTGCTATGGCACATGAGAAGTGCAGAGGTGATTGGTGGCAACCAACATGGCTTTACCCAGGGAAAATCCTGCCTGACAAATCTGGTGGCCTTTTATGATGGAGTAACAGCATCAACTGACAAGGGAAGAGCAATTGATATCAACTACCTGGACTTGTGCAAAGCCTTTGACACTGTCCTACATGACATCCTGGTCTCTGAATCGGAAAGACATGGATTTGATGGATGGACTACTCAGTGGATAAGGAATTGGCTGGAAGGTCTCACTCAAAGAGTTGCGATTCATGGCTTGATGTCTGAGTGGAGACCAGTGACAAGTCGTGTTCCTCAGGGATCGGTACTGGCACCGGTGCTACTTAACACCTTTGTCGGCAACATGGACAGCGGCATCGAGTGCACCCTCAGCAAATTTGCCGACGACACCAAGTTGTGTGGTGAGATTGACAAGCTGGAGGGAAGGGCTGCCATCCAGAGAGACCTGGACAGGCTTGAGAGGTGGGCCCAGGCCAAGCTTGTGAAGGCCAAGTGCAAGGTCCTGCACCTGGG